CATAATCTTACACATTCTGAAAACAAGATTATTTTTCTTAAACAATCAGTTCTTGTTTAGTAAATCAGTCTCAAAACAAGATCAAAAAGACTTTTTGGCTGATATAAGATTTTAAAACTTGGGTAGGTGGACATTTTTTGCAGTGAGTTTATTTAAGCGGTGCAACTTCAGTGAAAATAAAATACTTTGTGTTAGTGCTTTATTAAAGACAGGCAAGTAAATACAAAGTTAGAATAAAGCGTTGCGTTGATCTGAGCCTCACGTTTAACAGAACGGAACGAGCTTTTAAAAGAATAGTTTTAATAAAAATGGCTGTTAAAAAACTGCCTGCCGCGTCAGTTTTCGTTGGCTTTGTGACTTAATTGTGAAACTGCGCGGMGGAGCGTCATCTGTTGTGTAACAGCCCTGCAGCAAAGCGCTCAGGCGGGTTTCGCAGATAATGTTTTCAAGCTTTGTGAGACCAGTGTTCCCAATTAAGTCTCGGTGTTGATGAGCCTCAGCCCACAGGGTGGAGGCCCTGCATGAGAAACTCAGCCTGTGGTCTGAGGAGAGGACTGACAACTATCCGGAGCATCCTGCGTTGTGGAGTAAACAAGTGAACATGGAGCCCGTTGTTTACACAACCAGTCCTCTCTGAACACAACTCACTTTTTAATAAAAGCTGTTATTATTCCGCTGGTTCTTTCTTTTCTGTGTGAGCGAATTAAAACGTGGAGCTGCTGCTGTGCAGCTTGGTTCGTGTTGCGCCGCAAATTAAACTGTTAGAGAAACGAGAAGAAAAAATTAAACTTTAAGTTAAAAATGTTTGTGTCGGATGACTGATGAGAGTCAGTCACTTTAAGCCGCTCAATCGATGATTATTATTATTATTATTATTATTAGTTCTCACTGATATTTGTTCGTCATAAATAAGGAGTTTAGCAGCAGAATACAGTTTCTGATCAGATTTATTGGCTCCTCCAGATCTGCTGGATAAAGACAAATGGACGGACTTACAGTGTGTGGTGACGTCACAGCACCCCCTCTGTCCTCGGATGAGTTTTAGTTCATCAGAAACGATGTGACTTTCTCCCCTTTCAACTGAAATCAAGATGCTGATGGCCCCGCTGTGGTCCTGGTCCGGAGCAGAGCCGAGCTGGTTCTGGAGTCAGGACTGCAAAAACCCTCCTTCAGTTCAGCTTTACGGCCCGCGTCACCTCAGGCCWCACACATGAGCCCCTGTAAAACCCGGGGCAGCCGCCCTCATCCAGGCTTTTATTGTGGCGCTAAATGGGCCCAGAGAACTGGATGAAGTAGTTCGAGCTGCAAAGACAAGAGGCTTCAGCGCGCAGGAGAGGATTGAACTGTTCACAAAACCACTCTTCATCTGCCAATAAAGTGTCAGGCAGCTCCGCTCCCAGGATCAGCTTCAGATCAAGAAGGAGGGAGAATAAACAACTCTGCTCTCCTTCAGAGCAGGAAGGTTCTGGTCTTTGCCTGAAACTCTCAGACTGAAGAAGTCTCTTGGAGGAGAGACGAAGCGTTTCATTAAAGAAGAACCCTTCCAGAAGACCTATACAATTTTTTCTTTTTGATTTTTTACCTGGATTACTGAGATGCATCAGGATATTTCTGTTCTTTGTTCCGTGCCTGAAATACATCTCATATGTCTTGTTATTATTTTTCAGTATTTTTCTCCGTCTTTTGCTTTCATCGGTTTTTATTTTCACCTGATGTGTCAAAGCTTTTTATCAACACAAGTTACCAGAACTGAAATGTCCAGGAAAAGTCGGWGTATAAATGAACACATCCCCTGCTAATTTATTTACAGAATAAACTCATGTTTTGTTTCGTTTCGTTTTCTTAAACTACATTTTTAGTTATGATGAATTATTCAGAATGTTCTGATAAAAACAGTTTTTGGTTTTCATCGTCAAATGCCCTGACAAATCATTCAAATAAATGTTTCATAGTTTCACTTTAACAACTAAAAAAAAGAAAAAAGTTATCAGTTATTAAATAGTTAGAAAATAAAACCTAAACTTTAAAGCTGTCCCAGTTTGACTGAAGGAATTTATGAAACGTAAAATTTAAGACAGCATAAGTGGGAAAGAAAATGTTTGTTAAAKTTATTTCATCTGTAAAATTTAAGACAATGTTCTTAACTTTATTCACAAAAGTCAAACAGTAAGTTTTAAAATATAATTCACCTGTTTGGGTAAATGAACTCAAATGAGTCAGGTTTTTTTTCTGGAACGATTTGAATGAAATGAAGAGAGTTTTTCTGAGTTTATGAAGTTGTTAAACACGTCGGCACCATGATTTAAAGGGTTTCAAGAGTTTATTGTTACTTCAGTTTGGACAACATAAAATGTGATGGTTGCGCCAACATCTTGTACAATCTGTACGTGATGATGTCATCGGATCATTCAGAGAAATGGCTCATCTCAGATTGTATTATTGTATAAAAAAACAAGGCAATTATGACTAAGGGTGGGGGAGGAGATGTGCGGGATGGAGG